CCTGCTGGCGCAGCGCTTGAGAGTCCACCTGCCGATGCAGGGGACACGGGTTCGTGCCCCGGTCTGGGAGGATCCCGCGTGCCGCGGAGCGGCTGGGCCCGTGAGCCATGGCCGCAGAGCCTGTGGTCCTCAACGGGAGAGGCCACAACAGTGAGAGGCCCGCATACCACAAAAAAAAAAAAAAAAGTGTGGACCTAGGAGAAAGGGGCCAAGGGAGTCATTCAGTCTCCCTTAGTTTAGGCCTTAGGACATAGGTTCAAAATGAGCCCTTAGGATGCATTTATTGGTCACCTCATCTTATCACAATAGAATATACAGGTGACTTGAGGTTAAAACCCTATATTAATAAAACTAGGGTGTTCGCCTGAAGGATTATCTCTGTTTTCTTTCCTTAGTGACTGGCAACAGCAGTGTTGGTCAGTTCTTTAAGGACTTGGGGGTTTCCTAATCCTTGTCATCTGTGTCTTTTATTATCAGAGACATGACCATTATCTAGTACAGTCAAAAGGATTGCTTTAATAGTTGGAGAATGACAACTTGTGTGTCAGGATTACCCCCTTCTTTTACAGGGAACTGGCCAGCAAATATGTGTGGGAGCAACATACATCACTTTGATTGTAATGACAGAAAGATCCCTAAACAACAATGAGCAGCGTCACTCGCAAGATGTCTTTCCTTGAAAGCTGTGTGTCTTGTTCATTCTGGCCTTTGAAAGCAGCAACACTGCTTTAAGGGTCAAGATAAGGATATGGGCCTAGATTGTTACTTCTCTAGTTGAACTAGGAACTTCATTTCCATGCAGAAAGAAGTCCTTAAAAACAAGTCGGGGAATATATAGGTTTAGGAAGGCAAATTTAGTATGTTTCTGAGCACCACAATAAAGCCTTATATACTTTAAAAATTGTAGGCTATCTCTAACTCACTTTGAATTAAAGTGATTAAAGATGTAAGGGAAAAGCACCAGCCTAGTGTACCAGTTTAAGTTCATATGTCTCCCTTTATACACACACTTGCCTTGCTGTCTGTAATGCTACCCCATTGCTGCTGAGGCTTAAGATGCCAAGGTACATGCTTGGGCACCCACACATGCATTACCCAAAAGTGCAAGGGAGTTAATATTCCACAGGGAAGGTAGTTGACTAATGAGATGGGAGATAGGAGTTGAATTCTTCCCCTTTCCTCACGCAGATGGGCTGAGATACAGTATGGCCTATCATAAGAGATTGAGAAGTTAGCTTGTCATGAAACAGGTTATTCTCCCTCCTTCCCTACCTCTTTTTCCTTGCTCCTACTTCCTTGGGATTTCACATAAGCTTTTGCTTCAAGCTCTATTTTATAAGAAACTCAGACCAGGGAATCTGGCAACTAGGAAATCTGGAATTGTCATAATTCCACCCTAACTTATAACTGTGTGACTTTGGCAGGTTATTTTCTCTCTTTGTGCATCTTTTCCTCCAACTATAAAATGTTGATGTTGGAATAGATGTTCTTTAAGGGTCTTTCTGGCTCTGAAATAATAATAATGTCTTACCCTCTCTGGCTCCATACCATAAGCTGATTGAGAAATGGTAACTGGCTGCAAACATGTTTTCAAAGGGAAAAGTGGAGAAGTGTGTAATGCCACCATCTTGGGAAGCAAGACAGCTAATAATATGATGTCTGTAACTATTGCTTCACTCCTAACATAGTAGCATGTTTATTTCAACTCTTAGGCTGCAGGTGGACTGGAGTTTGAGGCTTGTTATACCACAAGGGTTTATATTATATTATGCTCTGGACTTCTATACCTGACTCTGGACCATGGATTCTGGAGTCAGACAGCCTAGGTTCAAATCTTAGTTCCAGCATTTACAAGCTTTGTTACCTTTGACAAGTCACTTAACCCCTCTGTACTTCAGTTTTCTCATTTGTAACATGGCAATCATAATAGTGCATACATTGCAGAGTTGCCGTGAGGATTAAATGAGCTAATACAGGTGATGTGCTTAAAATAGTGCTTAGCACATAGTAAGCATTATGTAAGTGCTCACTACATTTATTATAGCTATTGTGATGAGGAAAGATGGGCTGGAACAACAACAACAAAAAAACTTTTGGCTAAAGCCATATGAAATGTATCAAGGGACAAATATGTGGAAAGCAGTAGATTTAGGGGGTAACAGATGATTTAACTGCAAAAAAATGCTAAGCAGGAAACACCCTCTAAATATTCCTGTTTATACAGTACATGACACAAAGTAGAAAAATAATGAAAACAGAGCCTCTCTGCAGGATTTAGAGTTCTTTCATATATATTTTAAATATACATGTGCAATACATTAAAATATATAGAGATGTGTGAATATATATTTACATATATATATGTAAATATATATATATATATATATACATATATATATATATATCACAGAGGGGATACATATGCACACTCACATGTCCGTGTGCATACCCCAACAGGACCCATCTATACGTAAACCAGATGCAGTCCATATCAGGCCAACTTGGACACAAATGAGAGCCCTGACTTAGCAGATTGCAGACTGCAACTGCATTGGAGTAACCATTCAGTTTCTTCTACCAAGTGTAAGGCCATTTAGAAATACACTGGGAAGAGCTCCTTTGCGTGTGTGGCAGAGCCCAGGGCGCCTCTGGCAGTGCACAATTTGCCTGAGTAAGGACTGCAGGATTGAGATATGAAGGAGCTACCAAGGAGGAGGGACTTGTGTTGTTTTGGGTCCTGAAACTAATAAGCAAACATCCATAGAATAACTAGCTCCAGGAAAAATGCACTAGTGTCAGAATCCTTACTTATCTCAGCTTTAAGCAAATTTCAGGCAGAAGCGAAGAGAAGTGTGTGTTGCTACTCATCACCATCCAGCTTGACCCAGAAAACCAGGCACAGCTTTTAGGGGTGGATAAGTTCAAAGGTCAATCAGGCAGACTTGTAAGATAAAAGGAAGTTACTTAAATGGAAGGACTTGAAAGCAACATAAGAGGTTACAGGTACTGGTTTGGGTTTATAAATGTTTCAAGAAGCCAAACCTTGTATATGGCACCATTTGCAGCAATATCATTAACATTATTAATAATCATCATAACATATTTATATATACAAAAATAGAGCAAAGCAATTCTAGAAGAGGAGGTGAAAGTGAAGGTGAGGGTCTCTGTGCAGCCCAAATGTCAGTACACTTCAGGGAGATTCAGAACCAACAAAGACTGAGTGGCACGTATTCCTATAGTATATAGCCGACAAGGGGACATGGATGTTCCCTTCTTCTTCCCCCTGTGTATGACTATACATTTCTCCCCACCTTTCCACCCTGTAATACATATCCATGCACACTTCAAAAGAGATGATGATATATAAAGCTAGAGTCTGGAAGTCTTAAAACTAAGTTGGAGCACCTTGATTTCAAGCAAGTGCCCTCAATCTTTGAATTCTTTAGTGAATTTTGGATTCACTTACAGAGGGAAACTGTATCTAATTCTTGCATCTTTCAGCAGCAGTCCTTAGGAGCCTGCTATCACCACTGCAGCCTTTTCCCATTGAAGGGGATTCACAGCACAAGCTCTTGGTATTTCGTAAAAGAGAAGTCAGTTCTCTGCATTATACATCTTTCATCTCAGTTTTCCATTGTTGCTGAAATTTAGGTTCTCAGGCAACTGCCACTGCAGACAAAGCCAGGAGCAAACACAGTGTGTAGCAAAGGGTAGGTGCAATGGTGAAGATACAGCTTGATTAGGGCTTCCTCAAGCTTTTCTTTTGCATACTTGAGCTTCTACAAGGTGACAGAGCCAAAGGTGATGTCCACTGGGGGCAGCCTGGACACCTGAAAGTTAGCTACCCACTATACCCCACATAAAGACCACCACATTAGCTTGGCATGATTCCTGAAAATTGAATGGGAATGGCTTTCTGTCATTGTTAATAGAGAATACTGAATCAAGAGTCACAAGACCTGTATGCTAGGCCCAACTCTATTAACTCAGTGTGTAGCCTTGGGCAGATCCCTTCCTATTTCCAGGCCTCAGTTTTCCCATCTGTAAAATAAGGGCATTGAACTAGATTAACAGTTAAGATCCTTCCAGCACTAAAGTTTTATGACTTTTTATGTCCATTATTAAGGCCTGAGCCATGCAGTCTCAGGGCAGTTAGCTTCTAAGAGAGAACAGACCTCTGTAATATCCTTTGCTTTGTTCATTTAGCTATAAAGCACGTCTGCCTTTGGCACTTGGGTCAGACATACAAAGTTATGAGCATCCGGATTTACTATCTTACTCAGCATGCTAGTGGAATCTGTCAGTACTGTAAGTTGATTATTGGGAAAGGGAGTAAAACTTCAACTAATTAAACCTGGAAATGTAAGATAAGTTTGCCTCATATGCTCATAAACTAGCGAGTGTGGTTATGAGTGCACACACACTATTGCTAGTGATAAGTTCATTACAGTAATCAATTTCCCTTAATAAAAATTAGTATAACATAGCAAAGTTTGGCGTCAAAGGAAACACCTATGGAAAAACAGCACTTTTTGATGTGTTAGAGAGAGAAAGAGGGACAGGTAGAAGGAGACAAAGATTAGATCAAACAAGACAGAAACACAGGCAGAGAAAGGATTAGTCTGAGAGAAAGGGAGGGAAGGAGAAGAAAGCAGAGAGAGAGAAAGAAAAGAGAGGAAAAGTAAAAGTAGAGAGGGTGAGAATGGAGTGGGAATGAGAACAGAACAGAGTAATGCAAGAAGAGGAGAAAATGAGAAAAAGACTAAAGACCAGAGAGGTGGTAAATGGAGAAGGGGTCAGATTCCCTGGAATACTGAACACTGTTCCACATGGACCTGTGAAAACCATCTAAGAAGAAAGCTTCCAAAGGCACTGTGGAAAGCAGAGTGACACTCAGAGCCTGCATCGAGAGGTATTACGTCGGGGAGCTCCTAACCCTCCATGTTGCTGGTTCTGTCAGCCCTCAGTGTCCATATCTCATGCTTTATATATCACCTGAATATGCCATGACAGCCGTAAGGGCTGAGATGATGGGTGTAAAAAGACTGAAGAGGAGTGGGATAGATACCGTGAGAAAGAGCAAGGCATCCTGCACCAGGATGTACTTGACCATTCCCCTGACACTGCAGGAACAAAACTGGTGAGCCCTAACTTTGGCTTGGCTACTTTACTCCTCCTCCCCTTCTTCAAAGATGAGGCCTATGCTTTATTGATGGGGCCTAGAAGGAGAAAGCACTGGATCCCTTTTGTGGGAAGGTCATACAGACTTCTCCTGGGCCTTGGGGAAGGGCGCACTACCAGAAGAGATTTTTCTGCACACAGTGTTGGTGTGCCTTTTACAGCGGCAGCCTGGTCGCCTAAGACTATCATAGCCCTGCTGGCACAGATGGAGGCATCCACGGGTAGGCAGGTAGCAGCACAGGCAGGGTAAGAAGAGGGAGATGAGGCTCATGGCTGCCCAGCGGATGAAGCAAGAGCCAGGCCCACAGGAGCAGGGCTCATCAGCGCAGTTGTCTTCATCATCAGTAGAACAGTGGTAGAAGAGGCCCTTAACACAGCAGAGACAAGTGCCATAATCGAGGAGGCTCTCTGCAGAGCAAAGGCAACGCTGGTTGCACAGCCAGAAGGAGGGGAGAGGGCGAGCTGCCGTACAGAGGACACATTTGCAGCGCCCACACTCCTCGCAGATGAAGAGGTGCTCACTGGGGTGCACTGCAGATTGCTCAGCTTCTCCCTTCAGAGCACCATCAGCCTTTGGGTGGGCTCCTGTTCCAGGCTGGGTTTGGATGATGGACTGGCCTGAAGGTGAGGGCGTAATGCTGGCCAAGAGCCTTTGATCAGAGGCAGTGGTGCTATGGGACATTGAGCTGGCAATGCTAGATTGGCTCAGATGCTGAGGCAAGGGCTGCAATTGATGGCACTGGCTGAGACTGCGTGGGAGAGCAGTAGGCATGGTAGCCAGGGGCCAATCAGATTTGTGGGTTTGCACGATAAGGGAAGGGCTAGAGAGGGCCTGTTTACAGGGGACTGGAGGACGGTCCACATAATCATTGCTAGCGTGAGTAGAGCGCAGCTGTTCAATAGGCAGAATTTGCTGGAAATCATCTGTCACTGTGGCATCCATTTTGCCTTGATTCTTGAGTTCTGAGTGGTTTTGGGTCAGGGTGGCACTTATGGTGATAAAGAGCCCTTGTAGTTACATGGATCTTAGGGCACATCAGAAAATCCTAGGAGAGAGGGAATAGAAACAATAAATGAGAACACACAGGCATGAGTACTTTGCAGGGAACCAACAAACCTCAGGCCCCATCACCACCACTACCTTAAGTCACTTTAGTCTTCATGGTACTCCTTTATTCTGTAATTGACCTCACCTACTTCTTTACAGGCAAGTCTGGTTATCTCATCCAGACTATAAAGCACATTGGGAGCAAAGATCTGATTATGGATTCCCGTAGTAGTCCATCATATGACTAGGATCACAGGAGCATTTAGCTCATTAAGAGGTTTGCTAACCAAGAAATCTAGGCCTTCAGCATCAAAATTCTAATAAAAATGGAACCTAATTTCAAGTGAAAAGGTCACTTCCTAAAGCAACACTGATGTAAAAGAGAAAGCCTCAGATTCTTCCATGAGAAGCTGCATATATACATATACATATATATGTATATATATATGTATATATATATATTCTCAATCAAAATTTTCCTTTCAGTGAAATTTATAAGCATAAATAAGATGATAAAGGACAAGCTTGATTCAATGAATACAGGCAAGCAAGCAAGTTGCAATAATAGCAGAGATATGGCAGAGACACAGATGGCAGAAATTAGGCTATCTTAGAATAATAGGAAAAAAGGCTTCCCAAGGGCGTAAGAAAGTCAAGACTAATCATCTTGCTGTTCTCCTCATTTTATAAGCTGCTTTAACTTATTGAGGAGGTAATTCTTTCTAAATAGCAGCATGGCTTCAGAATCAAACTTTTGTATACATAGGAATAACCTGGGGATGGGGGAACCACAGAAGATAAGCCCTGAATTATTTCAAATATCACCTATAATTGTACTTTTTACCACCCTAAGTCAAGTCTATATTGATGGGATTTATGAGGCAGAATCTGCTTGGACTGCTTTTCTCTATCTTTACCTTATACAATAAACTGGCTTTCTTATAGAGCAGCAGTTTTTATACCAAATTTCAGATAAGTTGAATATCTAGAAAATATATGCTTGTGTCTTCATTGTACCACAATCAGGAAGAGCTCGGTGGTCATTCCCTGAAGCATTTGATTGAGCCTAGTACTGATAACGGTGACCATGAGGAAAATATTTTTCCAACAGTAGATTACTGTATTGCACCACCTGGAAGACTGAACAGCCAAAAGAGGTGTGCATAAGGAAACTTAAACAAAAATCTAAGAGTCACCGTGGGGGCATTAGGACCTAGGAAACACTAGCATGAATAAAGTATATATTTGAAATCATCAGACTTCAGGCCTCCTCAAAATAGATCGATTACTCACACTACCGTATGGGATGGAAAGCTTGAATGAGTAATAGAAAGGAACAAGTGAAAGAGGATAGTGCTTGATTAGATTTCCATAAGCAAGCAAACATGACACAGAAATGTGCCCAAAGTTCAATAGCAAGAAAAAAAAAAAAGACGTAGTTCATAAAGGACTCAGTGGCTAATATGATCAGACTCATTGCCTTTCAAGGCTATATCCCCATGCAAACTTATTTAGTTGAATTTACATCTGTTCATTTTTTGAAAAGAAGATTTAATTTAGTTAAAAATAACTTTTCTGGCACATCACATCAAAGAACCAGTCTGACTATAATTTCACTTTTTAGCTACTTGTTTCAGTGTTATTTAATGCAGCACAAGAGAATGCAGATAAAGACTATGGAGATTCTAAGACTCAAACATGTAACCTTTGGCAAATCACTTACTTTGTTTGGGCCTCAGTTCCGGTATCTATATAATTATAGGAATGGACTAGGTGATTTTGAGGGACTCTTCCCTATTATGGTCTGTAATTTTATAACTAAACAATGTGACAAAATAATTCTCTTCGTCCATACCTTCTACATCTTCAGCCCTTGAGGGTAAACTGGGCAACATGCCCTTGTTTACTTGGGCATTCAAAAGCAACATGTTTGTCTCTTTTATCTACTTGGACTCACAATCCCCTGAAGCCTTACACCTCTACCTTTGCTGTATCTTTGTTAAGACTCATAGTCCCAGCATTAGAAAGAAACAGGTAGTTTTCATCTGAACACCCAAATAAACAAGGACACATTGTTCAGCTGGCTTGCAGGATATGTGGATGTAGGAGCTTTGGATTGGGAAGAATCTTTTGATAATTTTATAAGAAATGAATTTATTCCCCATTGATCAGATAAATAATGTGTGGGGCTCTTCAAGTCATTTACACTGTAAAAACAATAACGTACATATGCTAGATGCATTTTAGACTCACTGATTTCCCAAAGGAAACTAGATTCAAACATACTGGAAATTCAAAAGATCAATGACTCAAAGGAAGGCATACTAGGTCTTAATGTTACAGGAGATAATCATATGGGACCCCAAGGATGTCACTAGATATCTCAGGGACTTGCCCAGAAGGTTGAAAGCTATGCTTGGAGGAATCTAGGTCATAATACAAATAACTCAGAGGCGCGAGGGGATCCTGTCTTGGCAGCAGAAGGGTATATGGTGTTTAGGTTGAGAAGGTGTATTTGGTTATTGATTAGACTGCTGCAAGACTGAAGAGTTGAGATGGTTGGATGATTAAAGGAGGCTTTGGGCATCAGTCTGTCTGGGATGATGAAGTATACTACTGTTTTGCTTACAGGCAAGGGGATTAACAGGATGAACTCAGAAGGTTTCTTCCTGCCCTGTAAAATCTTTACTAGAATGGACTGTGGAAGATCTGCAATCCGGTGGGCAGTAGGACCTGGGTAAAATCAGGGTGTTGAGTAGGATAAAACAGGATTGAACGACAATAAATTGTTTGCCATTCCGGATGTGCTGACTCCGATCTGGCTAACAGGATGAACTGAAATAGATACTGTAGGGGAAGGTAAGAGGGGAAAAAAAAGTTGAGAAACAAGAGACTGCTGCAGCACATAGATTAGATGAAAAACTACTACTGCAAGCATGTTTATGATTCAGAAATCCACTCATTAAAGGGCCATTCATTGTGAGCAGCACCAGTTAAGAAACCGACTGTGCTGCTGGTGAATTCCATATTCTATTAAGTGAGAGAGAGAATATACATATCATATATTATTAAATAGGAGCCAAGGTGATTACAAGTCTTGGCTGCACATTGATGGGATCTAGTGATTTCTGTCACGTAGTGCCTGTGCAGTAATGAATGATGCATTGTAAACCCACTCCCATCTCAGTCCCTCTGGCCAGGTGCTCATAGTTTTCTCAACAGTTTTTCTGTAGCCCTGAAATTTGCTATGTTCAACCTAAACAGAAATTTCTTTTCTTACGCCAACTTAGGGACTAGAAAGGTAAATCCATTCAAGAAATGCTGTTTGTTAATGAAAGAAAAATGTATTTTCTCCCTGGAACCTAAAATCTGCCATGTTGAGACTAAAGTTGAAAACTTTCCTATCTAAAGCCCTTCTATGTTAACACCTTAAGAGTGTTCTGATTTTTATGATAAATCCTTTCCGATACAGTATGACTCAATCTTGATTTCAAAGAAGAGGGGAGAAGAGAAGGAGAGCCTGGCTCCTGTTTTCTCCTAGTCCCATGGGTTCAATGCTGTTTTGTACCTTACTGTGTAACGGCTCTGGGGTGTGTTGCTTTCTTCTGTGCTCTGCTGTTATATACACTCGTTCTCAGAATAACTGAAAGCAAACATAGGGGGGATTTCTGCTGTGGCTTTATGTGTTTTCTTAGTTCTACTGTTCCAAAGTCTGCTCTCTAAAAATCCCTCTCTGTGCAAGAGCATTTGCATCTCTATCAAAGCACTCCCCCCCTTACAAATACCAAGTTGTATATAGTTTACATTACTAACCTCTCAGCCACTGACTGGGCCTCCGTCCTACCACATACATCTTGTTGGAGCTGCCAGGTTCTCACCACATTTAACTCTTAACGTGTCACTTTGTTACCCTAGTCCTATTCATTACCTTCATAGTTTCATTAAGACTCAACAGCAGTTTATTTCAAACCAGAGAGTCTTGCAGTTTTAAGAGCCTGCATTTTTAAAGATATAGGTGTTTTAGTAATGAGCAATACAAAGAAAAATTGTAATATCAAATGAATTCACATACTTCTAATCCTGAAGAAAATGCTAGTTGTTCATTTAAGAAGTAGGAATCTTTCTTTAAACCCCAAATCCTTTTATAAGAGACAGGAAACTTAAGTTCTGTGTGACTGTGGGCAAGTGACTTCTGTTCCAGGCCCATTTCTTCATTTGCAAAATGAGGGGGGTATGAAAGGAAGGTTTTTAAATCCCCTTCTTGTCCTTATGCTCTAAATTTTTATGCTGGGTTTGTTGGTTGCGTTCCTCTGCCTCAAAAGTCTTTCATGAAGAATTGGTGTCCTTTCCTTCAGGTTCCTTACTTCCTCACAACTCAACTTCTCAACTCTGAATCCAAGTCACTCAGATCACTAACTAGATTGTTTCCCAGCTAGAGAGACCTAAAAACAGAACAAAAAAGCCAAAATGTATACAGTGTTACAATAAAGTCTTCGAAATGTTTATTTAGAGGTTTAGGGAACAAGATTAATACTTCCTTGTGGATAAAAAGCTAGCCTGTGCCTTCTTTGTATGTATGTACATAGCTGACTTGTTGGGAACATCACTTAACACCTGGTATATCCAAATTCATGTGATAGCACATTATGTTACAGGGAGGTTTTAATGTACCCAGAAAAGCAACAATGGTTTGCGTTTCAAAATAGATTTTCTGTCTAAGAGTTCAAGGTCTGTTTTCTGTTCATCCAACATGGTTTGCAGCATTCAGAGGCGAGTGGTAACTATAATTACACGAATGGAAGGGAGTGTAAACCACTGCCCTAGGTCCTATCAGATGTCTATTGGCTAACTAGACATGTTCACAGGTTCTCACTTTTGACAAAATTTCCATATGCCACACAGAGACATGTGCACACACACCCAGGCATGGATCTAGAGATTTCTAAATCATTGCTCTGACTCAATGTAAGTAGGGGGTTATGCCGTGTCAGCTTGCGCCATTTCTACCCAGGGCAAGGTGATGTGATGAAATCTGAACGATGCACAGCCCAGACTTGTGAGCCAATAGCAGACTAGCCGTACACTGACAGGATGCCCGCTGGGCAGCCAGACTGGCCTCAGCACGGGCTCTCCGTACGTTCTCAGCTTGGGTGGTTAGGCTGCGCTATAAGGGGCTTAGGCAAGCACCAAAATTCATTTAAAGGTCAACAGGCTAGAAATTACATTGACATTTGGCTACAAAAGAGTTATTTTGAAGTTCTCCTTTGATTTAGAAATTTCCGATACGGATAGTTTTCTGCAAGAGCTGATTCATTTAAATCTCAGTTAAACGGTTTTCATTTTATTCTACCCATGCGCTTGCGCTTGTGCGCGTGCACAGACACGCGCGCGCTCTCAAACACACACACACACACACACACACACACACACACACGATGACTGGAATGAATGGCAATGTGTGCATTTCATAGAAAGAATTCTGAGGTCTTTAGGAGCTAATCTCTAAGCTTACCTTGAAGAAAGGGCTTATCCACGCTGAGAAAAGCAGAGGGACTAATGGCCCATCTGTGGCTCAAAGGGCCTCTTCTCCTGGGTCTCTAGATTTCTCCACCTCTCTTCGGAAAGTCTGAATGAAAACTCCTTCACTGGCAGTGGAGCCAGAAACAGAGATAGTTCTGTTTCAGTCTTTCTGACAGCAGAGAAAAGGGAAAGAAAAAACAAACAAACAAACGGGGTGGAGAGGAGGGTCAGACTTGTAGTGGCGGACACTTTGTATGGATTTTACATGCAGATCTAAACCGTGATGCCCGTATTCCCCAAAGAAAGCTCAGCGGGGTAAGTTGTCCTCCTCCTCCTCCGCCTCTTTCTCCTCCCCCTTCTCCTCCTCCTCCTCTTCCCCTCCTCCAGCGCTTTCCTTCCCCTTCTCTTCCCCTCCCCCTCCCTCCTCCCCCCTCCTCCAATCTGACAGATGAACCGAAGCAGCAGAAACTGCAGTTGTAGACACAGGGTATCTCAACAGAGCAATAGATACCGCTAGTGTGTGATTATTTATATAGCTTAGGGTGTGTTGGTATATAATCTGCAGAGAGCGGGCCGCGGTGGGAGGGGGGGAGGAAGGGGGATGAGATTGCAGTGTGTTCAGCTCAGCTAGCCAGCTGTTTTGTGAATGTAGATGTTTTCTAGAGGTCTTGTGAATGGGTTATAGGGGAGGGAAGGGATTTATTGCTCCTTGTTACAGTCTCTCTTTCTGCCTCTCTTTCTCCCCCCCCCCCCCCCCC